ATAACAGAGCAAATATAGGAGGGCAAGATCAAAATTTTAGAGAAGAACAAGATGGGACAAATTCAGAAGCGCAGAATGCACGAAAGAATGCACCTGATAACAGAGCAGATGTAGAAGTCTAATATGTAAGAAAAAATGTACCCTCTACTAGCAAATTACCAAAAGAGAAATCATTAAAGAGAAAATTCTCAACAAATAAAGAGTAGGCTAAAAAAGTTGAGAGAACAAAAAGGAGGCACCTGTTGAGGAAGATGAGGAATCTGGTGATGGTGACAAGTTCATTGATAGTGATTATGAGTTTAGTGATGAAGAGAACATAGTAAAATCTGTTAAATAAAGAAAAGGTGAATGGGAGAAAATTGTCAAAAATTGCAAATCAAGTAAGACTACAAATGCAACTACATCTCAAATGGAGGGTGTTGAGATAGAAGAAGATGCCACTGATTCAGATGAATTTGATAGTTGCTGTGACTCAGAAGAAGAAGATCAGCTAAGAAAAAGGGCTAAGTTTTCAAATTTTAACCCTGAAACTGATATGGCCGATTCCAAATTTCTGGTTGGACAGACTTTTACTTGTAAGCAGTTGTTCATAAAGGCATGCAAGAGCCATGGAGTAGTTCACAGAAAGAAGATAAAGTTCAGTAAAAATGATGGCAGAAGAGTTACGGCTTATTGCAAGGACTGTAGCTGGAAAGTTTCTACAGCCATTATGCCAGACAAGAAGACTTTTCAAGTCAAGAGCATGCAAGGTGAACACAGTTATAGGAGGACATTTGACCACGAACTGGCAAACTCAACCTTTTTGGTTGACAGATACAAAAAAGAGCTGGCTGCTATGGCTGACATGAAGGTGAGTACACACACAAATAAAGTGAAGACTGACGTTAATGTCAACATTTTTAGGTGGTAAGCTTATAGAACCAAGAAAAAGACAGAGATTTTAGTTAATGGTGAACATAAAACCCAATACAACAAACTAAGGAACTATTATAGGGAAGTAACGAGGGCCAATCCTGGTTCAAATGTTTTCATGACCACTGTTGAAGATGATGAAGCGGAAGAAAGGTTTGAGAGGTTGTATATTTGTCTTAATGCATGCAAGACAGGCTTCTTAAGTAATTGTAGGCCTGTTGTCGGGTTAGATGGCTGCCATCTTAAAAGGCCCCATAAGAGTGTATTACTTACAACAGTAGGGATTGACCCCAATGATCAGTTGTACTCTATTAAGTATGCTGTGGTGGAAATAGAAAACAAGCTGACTTGAAAATGGTTCGTAGGTGACTGATTCAAGCTATTGAAGAGTCGCTTCCTGATATGGAGCATAGGATGTGTGTGAGACACATGTACAGTAACTTTAAAAAGTTGCATGGTGGTTTGGCATTAAAGGAGAGAATTTGGGCACTTGCAAAAGCTCATTATAAAAATCTGTTCAAAGTTTTGAAGGAAGCTTTGAAAGCAGTTGATGAGGGTGCATTTCAGTGGTTGCTTGACAACATAACACCACAGCAATGGTCCAGAACTTATTTTAGAACCTCCCCTAAATATGACATTTTATTTAACAATCTATGTGTGAGTTTCAACTCCAACATTTTAGAAGCAAGAGAGAGGCCTAACTAGATATGTTGGAAACAACACGATTTTATTTAATGGTTAGAATGGAGAATAAGAGGGAGTGGATGAAGAAATATACAGGAAAGATATGTCCAAAAATTTTTAAAAAGTTGAAAAAAGTAAAAAGTGCTTCTAGTGCTTGTATAGCTACACCTTCAGGGGACTAGAATTATGAGATGAGATGTATGTATGGGGATATGTACACTATGAATTTGATTAGCAGAACTTGTAGTTGTAGAAGGTGGGAAATAAATGGCATTCCTTGTACTCGTGTAATGAGTGCTATTGCTTTGACAAAAGAGCCTTTGGAGAACTTTGTTAATGAATGCTACTTAAAAGAGGCTTCTATGAGAGCATATGGGGCCTATAATATATCCTCTCAATGGTGAGCATTTGTGAAAAGATTTGAAATAGGGGCTGTCCTACCACCTGAAACTATCAAGCTTTCTAGCCGGCCTAAGAAGGTAAGAAGAAGAGAACCAGATAAGCCACCGGCTGCAACAACTTCTCGAGGACAAACAAAGAGACTGTCTAGAGTGGGTCTAACGGATTATAAGTGCAAAAAGTGTAAACAAAAGGGCCATAATAGTAGGAGTGTCCAAGCAGTTATGATCAAGGGAATGTCCAGCAACAAGCTACTGCGGTTACAAGTAGCTCTTAGCCACAGCAGCAGACTCCTAACACTATGACTGGTGCAAACAAATAGTCCCAACCTCAGCAGTCCCAAACTCAGCAGTCCCAACCTCAGTAGTCCCAAACTGATTACCAGTCTAAAAATGCTACTCCTATTGCAAACAAATAGTCCAATTTCACACTTGAAGCAGTTTTTGATGCAAGTGGCTTGGAGACTGATACAAGTGACCAAATCTTGTTTGATCTCATTAGTCAAATCCCATGTTAACCTACAACCAGCAAACCACTACTCTAACATCAATAACAAAGAATGCAACATCTCCAATTCATACTTCTCTATTTGTTCATTCTAATTTTGTTCTATAGCACGTTGACTTCTTTCTATACTATTATTTACTTGAATTTCTAGTTACCAATTGTCAGGGTAAGAAAGTCAAGTACAGATGTAGTGTATGTTGGAGATTTAGACACACTCGAAATAGTTGTGATTCAACATTGGTCTCTCTCTATAAGAAATACCCATGGAAATCATCTGGATTAGCTGTAAGTAAATTGCTATTGTCTACTACATGCATCATCTAAAGAAGACTGCAAAGATATCTACTTCTAAGATTGCAAAAATTGCTATTGATTGTAAGTAATGAGCTCCTCATTGTTTTATTTGTATCAGAGGCCTAAGAAGACTGCAATGATATCTACTTCTAAAAGTGCTGCAAAGAGGGATGACAAGCTGACCTAGATGACTAGGGCATGTTGTTGCAAAAAGGAATGACTACAAAGATAACTACTTCTAAAAGTGCTGCAAATGGTTGCATTTCACCTTTTTATCGTATATTTGATTTCAGCAACCTTTTTTTTGGAGCACTGGAATTGACTTCTTAGTTCATTGCATTTTTTTGACAAAAAAACGTATGGTAATGAATTACGTGACTCGGTTATATACTATTTTTTCATTGCAATGGAATGCATGCCCTTCTTATTTTTGGAGTTTCATAATTGGTTCACTTTCTACTCTTTCTTCACTTATAATATTGTTATTATCACCTTCATTATCTTTCAATACAGAACCGTTCTTGGTCAGTTTTTTACAACATATTCAAGTTAGACTTTTATTCCATATTATGCTGTAAGCTCATATTCAAGAAAAAATCACAATATAGCAGAGAGGACTTAAGTTTCATAATTGCATTCCAACTCCCATTTGTACAATCAACAGGGGCCACTAAACGTAACCCAACCTAAATACAAGAAATAAAAGCCACCCAATTCCCATTTCACCACTTGCACCAACAAATGCCAGTTACAATTCAATCTTTGCACAACAATTTTTGCATTGCGAATACAAAGGCCACAAACAGCAACAATTTCATCATTTTCTCTTTGCGTCTTGTTTCTTCCACCTTTGCCTCCAATTCTCTTAATCTCTTCGTCAATCTTCTTGTGTGTCTCATTAATTTATCGCACCTCTCGCAACTGTTTGTATCATGCTACTTGAAATAGCCACAGCCGCCACCACTAATATGCTGTTCAAAATTACCTCTTCAAATTTCACATTTTTTGAAATAAAAAAGCAATAGAAATCAGGCACACTTATTTCGTAGTAAGTGCAACCATAGAACATCTTTCCTGGATTTTCAGTTGTCCACGACGTTTTCACTCTCGTTGGTATACCGCATTTACAAGTTGGTGGTTCTGCCATGGAGATGAAGCTTAGATTTTGGGTTTGGTTGAAATGAAGGAAAAGATGAATTTTGGAAACCATTCGTCCCTTACATTTTGGTCAACAGACAAATGGTTTGGCCTTTTTACCCTTTAAAAGTTGGGCACGTGATGTGCACGTGAGATATTCCGGGCAAAATCGTTCGAAAAAGTGAAACGGAATTTAAATTGATCATTTTTTATTTTCTAAGGACTAAAAGTGATCATTTTGATCTGAGGGACTAAATTTTTACATTTGCAATATGTGAGAGACTATTTGTGCAGTTCTCTCAAATGTATTTATGATGCAAACAAATAAATTTGTACAAATGGTACACTCCTTCCATATGCAATTCATGAAACAAAAAAGCTCGCATAAGTTTTGTTCCTTACATTTGAGCAAGAGTTTGATTATTGTTATCTCATTGTCCTTTCCATAATCCTTTATTTTCTTTTTCTTTTGAAAAAGAAGATAAGTTATATTTATTCTATATTGAATCATTTACCTCATCTTGATTATAGATGTTGATTCTTCATTAAAAAAAAAAAAACTGTATATTGCTTATCCTCAAAATATAAATCAATAAATAAAATCTGTCTATTGTTGTGTTTACGTAAGAAATACAGAAAAACAAGAAAAAGCAACGGTCACTAAACCGTCTAAACCGCCAAAATTCCCTCCTCACCTCTCCTAACTCCCGCTTCTCCTCTCCCTCTTTCAGAGGCACACACCAGCTGAGCAAAGTCCCACAACCAGGGGGGAAATGCCATTCGTTATTTGCCCAAATTCTTGAAGAAAATAACCTTCCATTGTAGATTCATCCCATCAAGAAAGGGTGTCGGTTAATCTCAGAACACCACAAACACAAGAAGCTCAAAATGGTATGCGAAAAGACTTAGCAAAAGAGAAAAAAAAAAAAAGGTAATTATGTTTGACTAGGGATTTGATAATTAGAGTCACGGATCAATGGACAAGAATCTCATTAATTTTCCGCTTGTCAGGTTTTTCCTATTATTGCAAGACATGGGATATGCTCATAGGATGTTGCTGAACACTTCTCTTAGCTGTAGATTTCGAGATTGAGGATATAGAGTTCAAGAATGTTTAAAAGATTTGTTTTTTTTTTGTCATGATTTTTGTAGAGAAAAAAGAGGAACAGAAGTGGTAAAAGATGCTCAAAGGAAAAGTAAAGGAAGAAGAGAGAATTGAGAAGATCATTCGTGGTCTTCTTAAGCTTCCAGAAAATAAGAGATGTATCAACTGCAACAGTTTGGTAAGCAGTTTTTTTTGACCTTGTTGTATCATTGTCATCTTTACCTATGATATGAAGATCTGAAAAACTGCTAACGGTTTAAGCTTTATAAGTTAATAGGGAATATTACCTTGCAAAGAAGGTATATTATGAAAGTGACGGTGTCAAATTGTTGAATATGATTGCAATGGTTTTACTGGGGAAAAAAAATTTTAAACAGCCCTTCAAGTATTAAATCTTTTTGCAATCTCTCAACCTGGCTTCATCCATTGTATTCTGATGATGAACTGATGATACTAGGATTTTAGTAAACGTAAACTGTAAAGCCTTCGATTCTCTCCCCTAATAAGCTTGTCTATTCAGGGTCTTTGTACTTGTTGATTTAGTAGTGAAGATTCTAAGATGTTTGCCAAAAGATATGTTAATTCCCTAGGCTGTTACAAGTTTTAAATATTTACAAAATATGTCCGCTATGAAGATTGAATTTTTAAACCATCTTTGACTGCTACCTTATTTTGTGGTCAAATTAATCAAAGGCAAAGCAGAGAAACTCAAATAACTCTTCAAGATCCTAATGGATTTTAGGAAATAATGCCGGGATTGTTCTTTTTCCCGAAAAGTAATGACCGGATAAGAAGAAAACCACTATCTTTTATGATGTTGTGTGCATCTAGTTCTAGACTTTCAGTCTGCATCCTTTCTTTTTTAATAGAATCTAAGAGAGTCGATTGCAGAAGTCTATATCTGCACTTCTGTTTCTTTTCTTCGTGGTAGAGGGGCTTTCGAGCTCCTTCATAGCAGCAGTTTGATCATAACTTGGTAATGATACAAATTTCTATCAAGCAGGGGCCTCAATATGTATGCACAACCTTCTTGACATTCATTTGCACAAACTGCAGTGGTGTACAGTAAGTGAAAATTATGCCTTTTGCAGTTCTATTCTGATATTTGTTGAATTTGTGACATTAGGTGAACTTTCAGAGATTCAGCATAAAGTTAATAATGTTGTAAACAACAAAAAAGAAAAGGCTAATTTAATGATATTATTGAAATTCAGTCATATGAAAAGCGCAGGCTGACTGATTTTTCTTCAAAACTTTCAGTCGAGAATTCACACATCGAGTAAAATCTGTGTCAATGGCTAAATTTTCTGCAGAAGAAGTAGATGCTCTTCAGGCAGGGGGTAATGAGGTCTGCTCGCATATCAGTTTAAACCTACTTTTGTTTTCTTCAGTCGAAATTAACTGAACTTTATATAATGACTAACCTAATGGACAATGTCACAGCGAGCAAGGCAGATTTATCTTAAAGAATGGGATCCGCATAGAAATTATTTTCCTGACGGGAGGTAAATCTATTTGCTTCCACACTAGGATAGAGGCATCATAGGGACTCTTTCTGTCTGATGAGATATTCTTTTTGTTTCCAGTAATCTTCATAGACTTCGTGATTTCATCAAGCACGTCTACATAGACAGAAAATATGCTGGTGTTAGGCGTAATGACAAGCTTTCAATGGTTAAAGCGGTAAGTCTCTCTGAATGTATAATCATACGGCCATTAAATCATCTTTTATTATCTTCAGCAGTTTTAATAATCTCACTGTTTAAAATATAACTGATCTGAATATGTACTTTGTAGTAGTTATTTGCTCCTATTTGTCTTATCGGCAACCAAATGCATTGAGTTTCTGTCAAAATGAACCTAGGCCAGGTAGATCTCAACTGACATGCTTCTGTATATGCTAAAGAGTGCAAAGGAGGACCTCCAAGAGCGGCATTCTTTTGAAACATCCCGTCGTGGTGCTAGAGAAGAATTTTTTCATACGGATGATGCTCGGAGAGATGATTTCTTTGAGCGGCACTCATTTGAACATTCTTTTCTAAGTAGAAACGATGGCAGAAATTTGAAAAATCACATTGATGCAAGAAATAGCCCTCGATACAAACAAGAAATGCTGAAGTCTGGAAGTCAGAATAGCCGGGCACCTCGATTTGAAATAGTTGATGATAGGTTCCGGGAAAATGGATATGGATCTGTAAGGAAAGTTTTGACTCACAGATACTCAGATACAGAGTCCAGGGCTAGAAGCAGCTCACCAATTTCACAAAAGAGCAGAGATATTTCCAAAGAGCCCGCAATACGTCCACTAAATGACATTTTAGATGACAAAATTCCTCCTCTAAAAGTGGGAGAATCTCCTAAAGCAAATGCTGTTGATGGCTCTGGCCATGTTCAGGTTAGTTAAATTCCTGATTCTGGTCATGCAACAAATATTAAATTCCTTTCACATGTTAAACACGTATTACTTGCTCCTTGATGTCAGTGTGGTTGTTGACTAAGCTATACTTCATCTGATGCTTCTTCAGCTGAGAAAGTCAGTGCTGTAAAAGGATAGTTATTAATATTAATTTGAACATTCATGATGCTGCACTTTATCATGCCCTAGGTAAAGATGGACTTGTATTTTTTTTCTCAATAACTTTTTTCCTACGGAAACACAACATCAGCATCTATAGAAATTGAAACATTGAACTGGAATGATTTCTCGCTTCAAATTTTGAATTTGGCCAGTGTATGTACAGCTCCATGTCAGATAGAAAAAATAGTGACAAACATGAAACACAACTTGCTGAACATGAAAGGTACATAGGATAGACCATTCTTCTCTTCACTTTTGAAAAGTTTTCAGAAATCAAACCGCAACAGATCACTTTTCTTTATTGAATTGTAAAATGCGCATAGCTTATTTATTTAGTTTTTCTGGAATGGCTCCATTTTGATTGCAAGAAAGGACAGATATCTCATCCAATGACTTTTAATGTGGCTTAAGGTATGACTAAAGTGATGATTCTTGAGCAACCTCTTGCTTTTGGGATCCTTGAACACCTTCTCTACACATGCTCGACTTTTAATCTTTCAATATTCCCATAACAGACAGCAGGAAGCTACACAATTCCAGGCTCTGTTGATAAAAAGGAAGAGGAAAACAAGAAAGTGAATACTCTTAACAGCTTGATAGATTTTGATGCTAACCTTGAGCCTTCTGCAACAACAGCAGTAGTGCAGACTCAACAAACAGTTCCTGTTGGTGATGGTAGCAAGAGTGCTGCCATGTCTTCTGCAAATGAGAAGGCCTCTAATGCTCCAAATGCTAATTCACTTGAACTGCTATTGTTTGGACTGGCACATCCTGCAGGTAGCATGCCTGAAATGTCTCCTGGTGGTGACAATCCAGCTGCTATTGTAGGTTCATCTAATCCTGATGTGGGTACAGTTACGAACAATGTTGCAATTACTACTGCTTCACACATTGAAAATGCTGCACCATGCCCTGGTAATAGCAGTGACTCTAAGGATAAGCTTGCTGATGCCCCAACGCTGCCAGCTTTGCAGCAAAGTGAGCCATTTGGAGCCCCTCCAGTAAATAGTAACTTTACTGCTCAGAAGGCTACTGCTTCTCTTGAAGCTGCAAACAATGAGGTAAGAAGTTGATTTGGCCTCAAGCTGTCCTTAGGAGATCATTCGTTCAAGTCTGGTTTAGGTACTCAGATGCAACAGTTGAACTGCAAAATTTTGTATTCTCCTCTGTCTTGCTTTAATTTGTCCAACCAAGGAGCAGTAGCTGATTCTACTCTATGCTGGCCTACAGTCCTTGACTTCAGAACCTGAGCATGCTAAAGTGCAACCAACCAATACATCATTTGGACAAGCAACACAAGTTGTCCCACAGGCAGCTAATGATACTAGTTTGGGAAATGAATTACTCAGTGGAAGAAAAGAACTTCCAGCGGTATGAGCATAGTGGAACATTTTGATTTTTTATGCAATTCTCACTAATTTCATCTAATTATAGACTGTACCATGCAGGACCTTTTTACATCAAGCTATTCATCATTTGCTGCTGCAGTTCCAGGCTGGCAATCCACTTCCCCTTATGGAATGGGATATGGCACTCAGTACCATGTTACTGCAATGGTAGCATAACACCCTCTAAAAATTTAAGATAACAGCAACTAAACAAATTACTAGTTCTTTTAATTAACTCAATTTTTTTGTTCTCTCTCTCTCTCTGGGTACAGTCCATGGGAGCTCACCAAGATTCGGTTAAATCAAGGAACCCATTTGATATTGGTGATGATGGTCCCTTAGCTCAAGGCACCATGGTAGGCACAGATCATCTCATTTATTTTCTTCCCCTTCCACCCCCCCCCCCCCCCAACAAAAAAAACCCCACCAACCTCATTCCCTTCCCAAGGCCAGAAAAGGACCAACAGGCATTTTAGCATATAATTAAAATTATTGTCTATAATTTTCTCAGGAAGATAAATTTTTGTTTCAATATGTACTAGCCATTCATGCACACTCTACACGTGTGCCATTCTAGAAGTTAATTTAGCACAAGTTATAAATGAAGTAAAGTTTAACTTACAACTTTAACAAAGGAGTAGATTAGGGCAGTTTGTTATTTTTTTGAGGTTTTAATGAAAATGAGAAAATTGGTATTGCAACTGGCAACTGCCAGTAGAATAGGTCAAATCCTTTTATAATTAAGTATGATACTCTTCCTAGCTACCTCTTATCACAACTCCGTTCTAAATTGTCACTCCAAAATGGAATATGGTGATTAACATTTACTGGCTTGACAGACCTGTATCATGCATGCCTGCAAATTTAGTTGATGTGAGTTCGGATGAACCTGAGTTGTGGAAAAACTCACAGAAAGACACTTGTAGTTGTTTTTATCTTCCTCGGTATATTCTTGCTTACATTTGCATGGTTGTGTTTCATTTCAGGTTTCTAGATCAGGCATTTTTTGAATTTGCTAACCATGAAGTATCATCTCTCTTTGTTTAGCTTCCTTCAATGTCACCTTTGCAAGGACAGATGCCAAATATGTCAACTTCGCAAGGGTTACAGCCTCAAGTAGTGCCATATTCATCGGCAACGCAAACACACGGACCTCCTTATGGAATTATGAGGCCTCCAGGTTATATGAAAGGATTCACTTATCTCTCTTAGAATATCTGTTTGTTTGTGTGTTATTTGTAACATATTGTCATCTTGACCTATGGCAACACTTTCAGGAGTATACATGGGGCAACAGATAGCAAATAATATACTTCCTTCCAGGTAAAGTCTTTGCTTTGGCTTCTTATAACATCATATTATGGATATCTCTACCTGGTTGAACGAGGTAAAGACAAATAGAGAAAGCCCTTAGGCTCTATGCTTGCTTGAATGCGAACTACTCTGTAGTCAATTGATCCAATGGAAAATATTAAAATAAGGACTAAAGTAACATCTTACTCTGATGTATGCAGACCGCAAGGAGCTAATACCTTCCATGTCAATGATGCTGCCTTTGCCTCTCTTAACCCTATTAAACAGTCAAGTGGGATGAACGATGATACTGCCTTTTCTTCTCTTAACCCCATTCAACAATCACATGGCGTAAACCCCTCATCAGCTACACCACAATCCTACTCGTTGACAGGAGGAAATCCATTTGGATAGCTGCAGACAAGTACACATAGTTGAATGTAGCACAATATGGTTCTTCTTTTCTGATTTCTGACCCCATTACATCTGAAGAATTTTGGTCGCTCGCTGCTGGAATGAGCTAAATTTTAAGTGAGCCATCTATGCGTTGTGAATGTCCTTGTACCTTTATGGGGATGCATATACAAAGGAGTACTCTCAAAGTATTACTAGAAATCTGTGTAGTACATGCTCTCATGTGCTGTGTATACAAATTAGAAGTCAGAAACTTGAAAATAGTGACATCTGTAGCTGGGAATAGGTCCAAAGACCACCATACTTGCAAAATTCATAAAAAAATATATATATTATTTGAGATTATAGAAAAAGAAAAGAAAGGTAGAGGGTAATGTCTATTTTATGTGAAGTCTCAATTACATTGTATTTATTCACTTGTTCAGTTTATTGTCTACAAGAAATTCTTTTAATACACTGATTTTTGTAACCTGGCATAATACCATTACCATCCTTATCCCATTGTCTCGAGTTTTCTGGTCGCTTGAGCTGCTGCCTTAGTTGTCTCAAGGGAAAATAACAGTTTTCATTCCTGAGCTTTGACCTACGTACATATTTCGTTCTCAAATTTTCTGGTACAACACATTTAGTAATTGAACTATCAATTTTTGATCAATTTTATCCTCAAATGGGAAATGAATGAATTTGACCGGAAAATTGAAGTTGGGAAGAAAGGTATTGGAGTCAAGAGAGTGAAGATAGTCATTCTATTTTGCTGATTTTAAATCGTACAAAACTTTTTATTTAATGGGGTCATGCTCATCAAATGTCTAATTTCTATTCAAATTGATTAAATTCTTATTTGAGGATGAAATTACTCAAAAATTGATAGTTTAGCTATTAAATATATTTTGCCAAAAATTTGAGAACGAAATATGTTCATGGCCTAAAATTTGGGGACGGAAACTGGCATTTTCCTGATGTCTCAATATGCCTTTGCGTGCATATTTTTTCACCTTCTCTGCATATATAGATGTCAGGAAAAGAGTCCCAATGAAACATTGGTCTAACCAATTCGTTCTTTCACCAAAACAATCATGTACACTTCACAAATTGACGTGCTGGAAGCAAAAAATATTTGTTCGGACCAACGCGCAATGGCACCTTTAGCGTATTGGGTCACATCTGCAGAAGTGTAAAGTGTAAACCCGATCCACCTAATCTAAGAAAAAAGGTCTGCTATAATGTGACAAATTAAATACCACTGCTACTTTTGTCTAACCCTCATTACTGATGCTGTACCCACAAAAATCAGCCAATGAAGTTGGACTGATCAGTAGGTTTGAAAGGGGCCTAATGAGGCATTTTAGCATGGTTAGCAACCAGGAAACGAAGAAAATTGTTTATGGTTTATGCATCCATAACCAACCAAATTTGGGGCATTCATAATGTTATGACATATGAGCTTGAGTGTTGGTACTACATCATATCATACTAAACTGTTTTCTGTTCAAGACAAAAATGTCAAAGCTAAAATATGTCATGTGTTGAAAATAAGGGGTTGAATCACTCACAACTTATATCCAATAATGTGGACATTGGCACATTGATATGGCTTTAAATCCGACAAACTAACTGTATTCAGCCTCTGAAAAGTCAAACTAATTTTGGGTATTGCTTTCCTACTCATACTCCCTTAAATACTTTTGAGCATATCAAGTTCTCGACCTTTTCAATGGATCCTTGACTTCTTGTTTTCTGTGTTTTCAACCCAGTGAACTGAAGTGTCAAACTGCTTGATTTTACTTCATTTGTCTCTTATGTTGTGTATAATTGCCTTAAATATTGCATTTCATCAGTTACAAAAGGATATTGGCAACATGTTTTCATCAAATCAATTGCTTTTTATTTTTATTGTCTATGTCTATACCCTGAAATCTGCTTTCTTACAAATTGAAGCACAACCTTATCAACTCGGCAATTAATAAAGAGAGAAGAAAATGGCATAGTTGGAAGATGATATGCATCTCATTAGTTACCTTCCTAAGCAATCAGGGTGACAGGTCACGACAATAGACTGTACATTTTCATGCAGGAACCAATGTCGGCAAAAATTTAATGCAGGGATGGCTCTGGAAAAACGAGTACTGCCATAAAGGACAGTTACTGTTTCACTGATATGAACATTATTTGGAGTTGAGAAATTTTGGTGCAATGATTGATGGCTTAATGGTGGGGATGCAATCATGTTTCCTCACAATTCTTCTTCTTCTTGGTTTTTTTTGTTTCAATTTTTTACAGTTCACATTTAGCAATGGACGCTACTTTTGGCTTTGAAGCACAGCACATCTTTGGAACATCAATTGAAAAACAACTGATATTCTTAGCTCCCTTTAGATCGGGGTGTTTATGAAAAATTTTGCTGTAGATGCATATCTTCTTAGCTCTTAAAAACTACTATTTCCTACTAGCAAAAATTGTGAAAGGAAGCAGTGATTGGTGGACATATGTTATTACTGATTGCGTGGACAATTGAACTATACCTACCTACCTGATGAAGAAAAGTCTTTGTAACGTACGTCTGATTGATACTTAAACAGGAAATCATGTTTAGCATTTAGTAATTACAACTAACTCTTTTGTTTTGTATGGATCAGCAAGTGATAAACCCTCTGGTGCTGATCAGAGGTGGAAAGTACTACTCCCTCCGTCCCACTTTGATAGTCTTGTTTTCCTTTTTGATCTGTCCCAAATTATAGTCCACTTTCCCATTAAGAAAGGTAATGATCTTTCAAATTGTCTACAATACCCTTATTAAATATCTTGTTATTAATACATTGTTATTAAATACTAACCCATTACATTGAATACATTGAGCTTTTCCAATGCACTCTTCGTTATTAGCATAAGGGTATTTTAGGAAATTATTAATCTAAATTTATGTTTCCAACCAAATTAATTATACTTTCTTAATCTGTGTGAAAAAAAAATCAAGACTAATTAAACGGGACGGAGGGAGTAGTAATTCTTAGGAAAGAAAAGTTATCTGCACGAACCATACATTAAATACATTGGACTGAAAAGCGCCAAGTTAGTTGGCCATTTGACCTATAGATAGTCCTTTTTCCCCGAAACATGTCAGAACACATCAACTTGCAAGGTGTTTATTGCACTGTTTCCAAGGAGAGGGAAAAAGAGGTCTGAACTCTGAAATGGGGAGGAGCATCAGGGTTTGGGGATTGATGATCACAGTTTATGTGTCAATGATGTTAGCTCAAAATGCCACAGGACAAAGCACATATGCTTGTTGGGGAGGATGTTACAATGTGTGCTTTCTGCTTAGTAGCAGACCAATAGTAGAGAGGTATCCGTGTTATTTCAATTGCCTGGCCAGCTGCTTTCCTCAGTCTGCTCTGGAAAGCCAGCTTTACTATTGCCATGTTGGTTGTTCAGCACAACGTTGCCTCCAAATAAAAGATGGTAATATCAAATTAAGCACTCTCTGCTCTGTGTGTGTGCGTGTGTGGGTGTATTTGTGTCTGCCTGAGAGTTTTTCCGTCAAACTTTGAGGAAAATCATCTAAGGCTTACTTGCAATATTTTGGCTGAATTCAAGGCAATTAACAATGCAAGAATTGGTGAAGGGTGACCACTCTTTTTCTTTTTCTTTCTTTGCTTTCTAACACGTTTCTTTCTGTCTGTTTGTCTTCATCGGCAGCTTCTGCAAGGGAGAAATGCTTTGGGGGCTGTGGAGACGCCTGCAAAACTTAGAACTGTCTTGCAATTCTGTGGTGCATCCAACATGGGGAGTTTGATCATACTGCTTTATGTAATAAACAATAATTTAATGGTTCTTCTTTATCTTTTCATTCACCGAGAAAGGAATGAACTCCATCCTTTCAAAATTGTCCCTCCTTTTGTTCTTCCCCATTCCTGATCAAGAAGAAAGTATATTTTCCTTTTACTATTCTTGTTATGATTCACATAGCGCATCAAGCAAGGTGGAAATGTTAAACATTACAAAAAAAAAGGTGTGCATTAAGATCACAGATCTTTTAATCAGTTCACTAAGGCGAAGCTTGAAAAGCTTTCCAGGATTTTGCATTGAGACCTCAATTATGGGTTACCATGAAAGCAAATTGCAGAAGAAGACTGACCACCATACAGTTTTCTTAGCCTGAGAAGCAAATAAACAACAATTCCACACAGGAAACCTAGTGCTGCACTAGAGCCTACCAGTGAAACAGCAGTGCAAATCAGCATGACAAATGCATCTTCCTTCGAGTTCATGTCCCTTGAGCAAATAGCAAGTTCAATCCCTGCAAACAATAACAGAACCCCTAGGACACCAACAGGAAATTGGTCCAAAATCTTCACTAGAGAGCTACCTAAAACTAAACCCAAAACCAACTTGGCTAAACCAAGGAGGGCCACACATCCACCACTCCGCCCACCGAATTTATACTGTCCAGCTAGCCCTCCTGCACCGTGGCAGCATGGCATGGCTCCAAACCAACATCCTATTAAGTTCATCATTCCAACAGTAATTGAAACAGACGTGGCTGAGATGTCCTTCTCTGGAAAAAGATCAGTCGACAACTTACAGACAGCAATCACTGAATTTAGAATTGATAGTGGAAGTTGAGGAATTGTGCCCTTAATGAATCCTTCCTTCCATGCATGCTTAGACATTTTCACAACTTCAATAGGAGATGGTCCAAATTTAAATCCTTTGACTGCTTTAGGCCCTCTAATAATTGCCAAAACCACACCTAACAAAAAGATGATGAAAGCAGAAGGCAGAGAAGTTATGATTTTTTGCAACCTTTTTCTTCTGTTGTTTCCTGATCCACTGGCATCATTGGCACCGCTCTCAGTTTCTGCTGCATACTCATTGTCATCGCCAGCACCGTTGACAACTATAATGAAACAAGCACAAATAATAGCCAAGAGCAATCCATCTAAGCCTAACCAATGCCTGTCTGAACCAGACTTTGACTTAGAAAAGTTTTGTACTTTTCTTATGTACTTCACTGCAGTCATAGCAAATGACAGGCCTTGTGCTAGCTGAATTCCTCTGACGATTGAAATTGGGATAAGCTTATACACAAGTTGCATCAAACCTGTTACACCAAGAACAAGTAAAATCCCTGCAGTGCAAATTCCTGATGCCATAACTTCTGGGATATTAAAATCTGCATCAGATATGGCCACTGCTGCAATTGACTTCATCGGCTGCACTGGCATGGGGACACCATAGATTGCACCTGTGACAAAGTTGTATACACCAGTGAATATCAGTGTGGTACCAAGATTCAGGTCCTTGGCTAGTGTCAAAGCCAAAATTATAGGAATGTAAGTGCCCAAATCCCCCATCGCACCATTTAACTCAGCCCACTTTGATCTGAAAATTAAGTTGTTCTTCACTTTTTCTACAACACTGCTCCTTTGACCTTGATTTCTGATTTGATTAGTGTTTTCAGAAGGGTTTTCCATTGCCTAACTCTTTTTTGGTAGTTTAGTGGCTGTGGGTTATTAGGTAGTTCTTGTTATTGAAATGGTGCTAAAAATATGTAAAGAATCAGTCAGGATTTGATTGGGTTGAAGAGAGGTGTATTTGTGTATGATGCAGGCCTGCAAGACATGTGAAAGAACAGGTGTCGTTAACTTAATAATGCGCCCCTTGCATTGATGGGAGGTCGTTGGCAAAGGAGAAATGTCTGCCGCTGAATTTGGCCCAAGGCATCAAGCAAGCAAGAAATGTTGCAGATATATTCTATTAGATATATTCCCCTCAAACGAATTGACTCTGGGAAGAATATGAACGTTGTTGATGATTAAGACTGTTTGGCAAGCCTTGACCTCGAGTGAGATGTGTAAAGAATCTCAAAAGATGTGTATAACCTCACTTAAGATTTATGCAACATATAAGCCCAAATCAATGAAAGGTTCAATAGACAAATAATTGTTGGAGAGAGAATGTAATTTGTGGCAAAAATGCCCCTACTAATTGTTGCAACTATTTGTTTTGAGAAACTATTAAATGAATTAAAACTTGTCAAACGAAAAGCAAAATCCTGTAGGTAAAGCTAAAAAATATGTAAGAGATGCATTAACAAAGTTTAGATGATCAGACTGGCCAAGAGCTAAATTTGCAAAGTAACTCAAATAAATATAACACCCAGAAAAAAAAAAACTTAAAAAGTAAATGACATAGGACATTTTTTTAATAGTACGTAACTACTATTGAAAAAGTGTTTCATTTGAATTTGAAGGAGAAATTTGCGCCAATTTCTTAAAGACAATTGGCCAATTTTCTATCCTTTTTTTCTCTAAATGTAGTCCAATAGCAATTTTTTAGGGCATGTATAGTTAATATCACAAAATACTAAGGATACGATAGTCATTTCGCCACACCTTATATGGTCTCAATCTTATATTAGGAAAGGCACGTGAGATTTTCAAAAATTGAAGGAAGGCAAGTGAAATTGTCAAAAATTTTAGGGAAGGTTTCTAAAATTATTATCTATCTCTAATCTCTTTATCTTCTTTCACTTTTTTATTTTTAAACATAGGGGTAGGTTCATTATAAATTTCAAACATTATCATCTGCTCGAGATTGCAGAGACTTTAGTAAGATAAATTTAAGGGCAAATTACTTGTGACCTTCTTGTAATTTTACACAATGTCAGATGACCTCCCATAAGATTTTAAAATAGTCATCCAATCCCTCTGTAATTTTATGTAAAGTGCAAAATGGACGAAATGCACAATCAATTATGGCGTTTATATCAAACGCACTTTAAAAGCGCATGTGATAAAATTTTAATATCCATATAACTCGTCTATAATTTGTATAAATATCTACTTTATTCCCCTGTGATTTTTGCATTTATCTAGATAATCTCCCTTTACTTTTATACAAAGTGGTTAAGCCGTCGATTAATTTAGTATTTAAGTAAGGATACTATTGGTATTTCAACTAATGACGTTACATAGGTTATTTTCCGTCAAGTTTCCACTTTACATAAAATCATAAGGGGGTAAATTAAACTTTTAAAATGTCAAGAAGCCATATGGCAATAGATGAAACTATAGGAGATTATATGTAATTTGCCCTAAATTTAAACTTTCATCCATTACTGATCGACCACTGGACCTACTTGTTATCCTGTGTGCCCACAATAAAATAACCATTCTATCATAATTTATATGTATATTTCTAATCTATCTATCTGTCTACCACTCCGTAAGAGCCAAGAATTGTGAGGACTCCCATGTTGACCTACATTAATTGCCTTCTACGGAAAAGGTTGTCAAATAGGGTGACGAAGTTTTGAACTTTTCTATGAGTTTAAAGAACGATTATAAAAGCCTTAATCACCCGAGCCAGAGACCTCAACTTCCCATTTTGCATTTCCCTTAAACTTTAGTCACAAAAATCCGTGGCCTATCTTCATCTTTTCAACATTTCTCTAAAACCAACCTCCAAAAATCCTCCAATCTCAACTTATCCTCTTAAATTCCATCCAAATTCAAAAAGGAAAAATCAATAAAAGAAAGACTAGAAAAAATGAAAAAAAAAAGACAATAGGAAAAAAGAAGAATAGAAATGTAGGTGTTGCCTTTGTCGTTGCTAGAATCCACCAGTGCCTACCAAACCATCATCAAAATAGCATTATAAAGGGTCAAAAGTTAAATTTTATAATAGTTTGAGAGCCATTGGAGCATTTTGCCCTCAAATACTAATTACAATTAAACCCATTAATCATGAAAATGTCAAGAGTTTACCCAACCAAAACTCAGTTAATTAGGGCAATAATCGAAACATCTTCTCTTAGAGTGTCGCTATGCATTAATACCGCAGACGATCTGCTAAAATACCGCATTCGAATCCATAAATCATAGCAAGATTTACCAATGGACCCTAAACCTAAGTTAACCAAATAATAGCTTGCTACTGGCTTTAAAAATGCACCGCAGCACCAACAAGATGGCAGACTATAGACAAAGATCCTGATTAAAGTAAAGCACCGAAAAATTGTATGAAAAGCAAACTGATTAAAAGCGATTAATACTACTAGCTAGGGTAGGCCTAGCGCCCAAAGAAGTTTTCCTAAAGTCCTTCTCGCTATTAGATTCAGGATTTGTGACAATTCTCGAACACCGATAATATCCTGATTTCCCCTATGGGAAGGGAAAGTGAATTTAAAATAAATTTAGATGGTGCTATATCTAAAGATCCCGTTACATTGCATCTTTTTCTGATTATTACTTGGGTTCCTAAACTTTAAAATGAGATACTTTAGTATCTAAAATATAAAATCTGTCACATGTAAGTAAACTAAACTTATTGACGGAAGTGTGTAGGGATGGCAGCAAAGCGATTTTTGGGTTGGGGAAACTTCCCCTGACCCCGACCCTATTTTACAAAAGTTCCCTCCTCCGTCGCCCCATCCTTTGCTCCTCTAACCCCTGCCGTGCCCCATCATCATTATGATTTTTTACTTGATTTAACATTTTATATTTATATAGATCTAATAATTGTTTGGATTAGCTGTTTTTGAAAGTATTTTTGAAATATTTTATTATAGTAATGTAGGTGAAAAACTTTTACTTTAAGCGTTTCTAATGGTGTTTTTGAAAATATATTTTAAGATTTAAAATTTTAATGAAAAATTTTATAAAACTTTACCACCATAGCGACTAGTATCTGGTCGCGGCCAAATAAGAGGGTGTGACGACCCCACCTTCCCCTAAGGCGTACCAAAGGGTTCGGCGGACCGCCTGCCCAACTCTCGCCAGGACTCACTCACTCACTCGTATCACGTGCATACATTCATGGACCATAGATAACATCGCAGTTCAAACTTATAATTTACATTGATGTAAGATCAAGGTACAAATCCTTAATATACCCCAAACGGGTTCAAAGTATATACAATCCTAATACAAACATTCTATTCGAGAAATAGCGCGAGTACAAGTCAAAAGTCAAAAGTTAAACAACTAGACTACGCTAGTCTTTACACGTCTCACGTCTCGCTCGTACCCCTGTAAGGAAAACAAAACTAACGGAGTGAGCCAAAACTCAGTGAAGTTCCAAATATC